GCGTAAAGACCGTGTGAAGGAATGCTAATGAAGGGGTTTCGTTGGTGCGACGTAGACGGTTTAGGCCGGTCGCACACTAATACGATATTTGTTTTCGACATGTTGACATGTTGCAAACATGTCGCTTTATTCAAATCAAAGTATATTAACCATTGAGTAGCGACAGCTGGGGAACTGAATTCTAGTACGCCGACGCGAAATAGAGAGGCGAGACGTCTTCTAAAGATGTAAACAACCCCTGTCACTTTAGTCCAGCAGCTGATATAGGATTACGTTATTGTAGCTTTATTAGTGCTCTTTTATTGTGTTTTTGTTAAGATTTTTTGGGATTTGAACAATCTATTGACTCATTTTAGAGCATTCGACCCTACGAAAGGGAATTTTGGGGGTCTTCACACACCTCCAAAGAATTTTGTTAATTTTATATTTAATTTGGACATTTTTTTATGAGCAATTTAAAAAAATCTTTATAGAGGATCACATTTCTCATAAACTCTTATCATACTTTGGAAATATAACATTTGATCATCCTTGTAAAGAATTTCTAAAACTATTTTTGTATGAATTATTTATTAGGTGTTAAATATTTTATAAATTTAAATTTAAGAATAGGGATTTAAAAAGTTACGGTTCAATAAAAAGCAAACAAGGTACACGTAAATTAAAGAATTTAATGCAAGAATGAAACATTTACTTGTTTAAATACCTATTTTTTTAAAAATAATTTAAGATTTACACGTGGTTTCAATCTCTTTTTCCATTGGCCATAAAAAATTCATTAATTTTTCGGGGATATGTAATTAGAACCAAATAAATTAAATAATTAAAATCTTTTAAAATAAACGATTTTATTAGGGTCGTCAAAACACTAACATGGAAAAATATGCACTTAAAAGTGAACAATATGTAAACCTGACAAATAACTGCTAAAAAAATATTCGTAAACTAATTAACGCACTCAAGTAAGTACCCAGTAATCTTGCCTGATTTAAACCATCATCTCTGCACTATCTCAAAGACATATGTGCCATTGACAAAAGAACTAATTCTTTTTGTTTAATTATATAACGATATGTCCATTCAATTTACTTTTTAGTGCAATTTTGTTCATCTGGTGACTAATAAAATCATTTACCTTAATTAATGTCTATTAAATTTATTGATAACTTGAATAGCAACATTATCACAGAATTATCATTTATGCGTAATTATTACAAGACTTTTTTCTTGATAAGTTTTCGTAATTCAATTCCTCAAATCATAGTCAGTGACCTCAAACATACTAAATCCAAGTTTGAAACAAATCGGCTCATCAATACAAAAATCTGCTAACTTTATTTTTGTTAAATTCAAGTTAAAACTCATATTTGACGGCCTTAAACATCCCCAAGTTTAGGACAATCAGTTCATTAGGAAAGTCCGCCATTTTGATATTTTTATGTTTAGATCAAAAATTGTATTAAGACTACCAAATTTCTAGTTTGAGACAAATCGGTTCTTAAACGGAAAAGTCCGCCATTTTGATTTCCTTGATTTTTTGTCAGAAATCACAGTCAGCGACCTCAACTCAACAACCCCCAAGCTTAAGTAAATTTATTCATAAGTATAAGAATAGTAAGATTGTCCCCTATTTTGCTGTTAACTACGAAAGCGTTACGGTGAAAAAAAATGACAGTTATATCTTCCATTAGTGCTACTGCTAATTGACATTTACATTTGTAAATTAGGCTAATTCTTAGTTCTGTCTGTTAAGTTAATGCTAATTGACACTTACAACTGTCAATTAATACTAATTGACATTTACATATATCAATTAGGTCTAAGTGTCAATTAATTAGCATTAATCGACAGCCAGAACTGGGAATCAGGCCTAATTGACAGATATACCTAAGGCCAATTAGTAGTAATTGACAGCTAGAACTGGGAATTAGACCTAATTGACAGATGTAAGTGAAAATTAGCACTAATTGACAGATATCACTGTCAATTATATATTTTTTTTACTGTGATCCTTCTACGCTTTCGTAGTTTACAGTAAGGTTCATCAAAAATTAAAATGATTGACTAAATGTCATCAGATTTGACACTGACTTCCATATTGTTGTATGAATAACTTGTCAAATCAGATACCTCTGTCAAACAATTTAAACGTGAATTAAAAGTTTTGAGTAACGGGGCGCGTTATTAGTCAAAAATTGTATTCAGCAACATGTTTAAACAACGCGAAATTTAAAGTTTGAGACAACTCGATTAATAAATAAGAAGGTCCATAAGTAATAATTTCTATTGTTATCAAAAATCAAAACACTGTGCACCTACCAACTTTCAAGTCTGTAGCTCATCCGGACGTAGGTAAAAAAATTGAAATTTATCAATAGTGATATATATTTTTATATTTACTACATAAGTTAAATACTCATAAATATAAAACTGCCTATTGACCAAACCTTTATTATAAATAAATGTAAACTACAAAAGAGTTTTACTTCAAATTACGTCGAGCAGTGTAAACATCACATTCAAGACCAGTTCATAATTCGAGCAGTGTTTTACTGTGTCGTTCCGTCAAGAACGTCAAAAGAGAGAGAAAGAAAATTTGCACCACCCAAGATCAAAGGCACCGATGCTTTATGTCGCTACTCAACGGTTAATATACTTTGATTCAAATGTAGAAAACAAAAGTTTGTATTTCGCACATCAATACATCATGTCGTCGGATGAAGATGCAGCAGTACTGTCGCTAATAATATTGCGAAGGAGAAAGAAGAAAAAAGCTCGAAAATATATTTGAAAGCTGTACTGGTGAAAAAATGATTAAAGATCCAGCAAAATATAAATCATATTATAGAATATCTCAAAAGACATTTAAAATACTTTTGAGCAAAGTTGGACCTTCTATTAGGCAATCGGATACCTAATTTCGGGAAGCTATAACGCCAAAGGAAAAATTAATCATTACATTGAGGTAAGTTAATGAAGTTTTATTTTTATGTATTACATAGTTTGCAAAAAGTCATAATCGTTTGTACTTGGAGATGGTAAGGGTGTGCTAGAGTACATAGATCGTGGTTAAGAGTTGTTTGACAGTACTGAATGCGGGCGAAATTTGCTGCTGCTTGAAGTATAATGCATATCTTGCGTATTTGTGGAAGAAATATTATTTGTTGGTAATCTGTAAAGTATTTCACTGATATTTTGAATAGTTTTTGTATAGTTTTTTATTTGAACTAATGTTTTTGGGCGTTTGTCGTCGTTTTTTAGAAGTAAAGTAATATCAACGACACATTTCTTCAGTGGAGATCACCTTCCTTGCGTTTTGTAGTAGAAACCTTATTGCGAGTTTTGGGGGCTAACAAGGTTTCATTTGTAGTGGATTCTTTAACTACATCATTATTTTCAGAATTTTCATGCTGCAGTTCGAATTCAGAAGGCTCTATTTCGAGAACTTCTTCGTGAATCGATGAAGATGTTCCTTCATTTTTGTTTATGGGAGATGGAATACTACCTTTTTGTTGTCTGGAATTAGAAAACGGTGTGAGAAAAGCTAAATAGTCTGCTAAATAATATTTTTTCTTTGCCTGTGCTGATGCTCCAGTTGGGGGTTTTTGCCTCAAATATAGTGTATAAGCAGATCTTAAATTTTTCCATTTTTCCTTACATGCAGCTCCTGAAAATAAACGTTTGTTTTAGATATTTTTCAACGGGGATAAGGCTCAAGCAGTAATCTTTCCAATTTATGAGATGAGACTCTACAATTGGACAACTAGTTGAAGAAGTTTGCAACAGCATTTGGTCAAATTTGCAAGAAGAATATATGCCAGTTTCAAGTAAATTACAATGGATTAAAAAAACTGAACGCTTTGAGGAACTTTGAAATTTACCTAATTGTATTGGTAGCATTGACGGTAAACATATTAGAATTAATTTCCCAAGGAAATCGGGATGGCCAATTACCTGACACGCAAAATGTAACCAATCAGTTCATGGAATTTATCCTCAATTCTAGTTTTGTTCAACTAATAACCCAACCCACGAGATTTAGAATAAATTAGGAACCTTCTACACTCGATTTACTACTCACCAATGATGAACAACTCTTAACTCCACTGGTGTATCTCCCACCAGTTGGAATATCTGATCATGCAGTCATAACTTGCCGTTTACAATTTCAATCATTCTCTTCTTGCACATCCAATCACACTATCTTCTCACTCACAAACTTTGCTGAAGTTTTTTCCTATCTAGACCAACTAGACTGGATTAATATTATCCCTGAAAACAATGATCCGAGCTGCATGTGGAATATCTTTCAAAATACAGTTAATGATTGTGTAAAATCTCATACTAAAAACAAAATAAACAGAAGAGCAAATCTCAAACCCTGGTTAAATAATCAACTGCTGTTTATGGTAAAATATAAGAAACACCTATGGAAAAAATTTAAGCTAACCAACAATATGAACGATTTCTCTGCTCATCGTCTATTCTCCAATCAACTAAAGGCCGCAGTTATCGAAGCAAAGTATAACTATCAGGAGTACATCGCCAACTGTGCTGATAGCAAAAAGTTCTATAAATATGTTAGAACAAATCTGACATCCAAAATATTCGTACCTCTTCTACAAAAAGAAAATGGAGATAAGTGTGCCAACAATACTGAATCTGCTCAACTCCTTTCTGACACCTTCTGTAATGTCTTCACCCTTGGAGATATGACATCACCACTTCCCGATATTTCACTATGCTGTGATGCTATTCTGCAGCTGGTTGTGTTGTTCTTTCTGTAGGAAGAAAGGAATCCTTCCGTTCTTAAATTTGTGCTCCAAAACTTGGATGGGTTTGTACTCTAAATCTTGAGTGGGTTTGTGCTCTAAAATATTAAAACTGAGGCAAAACCACAAAACAAATTAATATCATAAAACATCAACCATATTATTGTTTAATGAACGTTTTAGTTTTCTATATATAATCTAGAGTTTTTGTTCGAGGTTATCTCGTAAAATATTATGGTATAATATTATTGATAATCAATATGACGATGCAAAATTTTTATTAATTTAATAGTATATAAATATAAAAGAGTTGCGTGAGCAGTATTTATTAATTAAGTGTAATTTTGTAGTAAAACAAACTAATTGATTTGTTTTTAGTTTTAATGGACTAGACCACAGTGAGTGTGTAGTATTTAATAATTAAGTGTAAGTTATTAGTTTATTGGTTTTATCTTGTGATTATTTACATAATTTTAAAAATTGTGTACTTATATAAAAATGGTGTAAACAATAAATATACGGTAAATGAAAAGGCCAGTATATGAAGGTGTAAAAATAAAATTAAAAAAATAAACTTTATATAGTCACATCCTTGATCCGATACATACCACAAAATAAAATGAATAGTTTTAACATTTGTAGGTGTATGGGTTTAGAATCTCAATAATTAATATTCTGCTAACAATGTTTAAAGTTTTATCTATTACTTACATTAGGTTAAGTTAAAAATGAGTGGAAAGATCTCATCGCTTTCCAATGAGATCCAGATGGTTTTATTGTAGCTCCACAAATTTTGATAAAGACCATGTTTCAATTAGATCAGATCTGTTTAAAGTCGGTAGGCTCCAGTCTGGCGAATCCAAAGATCTGGAACCTTGATCTTTCTAAAACAGAACATATTCCTAGAATGTGCTCCGCGGATTCATCTCTTAACTTGCAGAATCGACTTAAATACAGGTTGTTAAAAATAAAATAATTTTTTCTTTTTCAATTTTTCGATATATTCAACATATCAACTTTAAATTTGGTAGGGTTATAATTATGGGTTAGTAAACTATAAGAGTTAGGATATCGTTATATGGTTTATAAGAAAAAAAAAATATTTTTAAGGTTTAAAAACGCAATACCCGTCGAAAGCTAGACTTTTAAAAATAGATTTCAAAAATCTTTTTTAAATTACGAACAGAAATGTTGTTCCATCCCCCCAAAATAAAAAAAAATAATTATTAAAAGTAGTGTAAAGCAAAATGTTGCTATTATTTAGTAATACATTTTAAATATGAGTACTTTTTTCTTTAAAAACTGCAAAACTGCAAAATATCAATTTTTTAAATCCTTTCCAAATATAAAAAATATATATTTATTATTTTAGTAATTTTACATTTTTCTCTGCAATATCATCTTCCAGCCCCTCCGATAACATTTAACTTGTTTTTTTGTTACAACAGAACGTAAATAAATTTCTCAAGATTTTGCTATTGTATTAAATGAAATGAAAGATATTTGGAGCTGAGCATCTATTCCGATTGTATTTAGAGCAAAAATTATATTTCTGCTTAAGTAATACCAAAACCAAAAACTAGCTCTACTAAAGTCATTTGAGGGGGATGGATTCACAAAAGGAATGTTTTCAAACGAAACTCAACTGTACGTTTGCTTCATACTGCTATTTGCAAATTTTAAATGTCTCGACCAGTGTTTGTAATGACGGGTTTCTAAACTGGCAACTTCTGGCATATTCTGAGACTCGATGTGTCACTCAGGATCCGACAGATAATCTTAAACTTGAAAACGTTTATATTTCGATGTCTGTCGTATGTCATCTGTCGTCTGTCGTCTGTCAGAGGTAAGAGATCCTAAATAAATTTTTAAAAATTCAAAATGACGTTGAAAGGATTCGTATTTAAATAAAATAGGTCCCCATTGAATGAAAATAATAAAAACGTTCTGTTGGTTTATGTAACATACCATTTTTACAGCAGCCGATCATTATTTTTCAATAACTGTAAACATAATTATATATATATATATATATATATATATATATATATATATATATATATATATATATATATATATATATATATATATATATATATATATATATATATATATATATTGATATAGAAAATAAAGGATCACCCTGTATATATATATATATAGTTGAATAAATAAACTATATTGATGAATATCTTACTTAAAAATATTGTACTTATCATGTTGTAAAATAAGAATTATATTGATAAATTCATAATTGAAATAAGAAATTCATTTAATTGATTGAATTTGGAAAGTATATTTGCCCAAATAACCTAATAGGAAACTAATATTGATCAGTGTATTGAGAATATTTAAATTAAGAATTTTAATAAAGATTCTAAATAAAGCGAGTAATCAATTTGTATAAGAAATCAATTTAGACTTTCACAATACACTCTGTATATATTTTATAATTAACACTTACCTTATTAAGATTGAAAGAAATGAAACAATTTAATCCTCAATCCCAATTGATTTATTTTTAAAGAAAAACAACGAAAAATAACAATTTCATAGTGTAATACGATGGCATCTCATAATCCACTAAATTTCTTAAAAATACAATTTTCTTGAAAAGCTCAACATCTTGGATTAGTTTTCATTCAAACGTAGAACCTGAAATTGGAAAAATATATTAATATGGTTATTAAGTTTGTAACACTCTGTAAACAACATTTCTAAAATGCAAAGCAGGTGAACGAACATTTATTTTGACATATTTAAACTAACTAGAAATTAGAAATGCCAACATGACTCAGAACTAAGAATTGTAATTTAGAAAAGGAAAATCTATAACAAAATTATATTTGGAAATTTCTTAACTGAATGACAGAATGTATAATTAAAGTTTAATAATATTCCTTTGAAATTATTTAAAGAAATATTCAGAATTTTCATGGAAATTAGAAGGAATCCATTTCATTGGTCATTGTAAAACCAAGGATTGGATTTATTAATTGATACTAAAGCTTTGTTAAAAAAATAACAAAAAGTGGTAGATCCTTAGTAACGAAAGATTGAAAAGACTGATAGGAGACAGTGACTGATTTTTAACAAAAATTGGTTTAAATTATTAAGAAATTTGTATATAGTATTTTTAAAAGTGTGTACAAACCTAGCAATATGTTTTTGAATAAAAACATAACATTTGGATGCCTCCAGAATTTAGAAGACTGGTGAAATTAAGTTTTTCAAAATCCTACATTGTTTGTATGTTGGGAATTTGGCTGTTTCCAAGCGACGATCTCAATTTGACGAAGACCCATCGAAGGCGGAACTGTGTACATGTCTTTGTGTAAGAAATTTCGCCGACCGACGACCTGAAAATAATATTTGGATTGGTTTTTCGATATTTACGGTTTACGGACAGTAAAGGTATTCCTATGAATTCATTTACAATAAAACATATTTACCTGTGTTTCAATTTTGTGTCTAGTTAAGTATATTATTCTATTTAATCCACTGATTCTAACCTTACATTTCTTTTGTACAAACGAATATACAAACAAAATGTACTAGTTAGACTCGGTAGAAATTTGATAAACGATATTTACATTGTTTCTCATCATTAGAATACATGTTTTGAATGAATGAAATCTTCACTAATATTAGATTGATCATTTTGTAATGATTAATATTTTTGATACGGAATTTGACATGTTTTATAATTAAACTATTACGTTCCTCCATTGAAAATTTTGAATATTTATTTCACTTTAATTTCTATAAGGTGGTAACACTGGAACAACTGGCGAACATTGACCCAATTTCCAGGTCTGTCTTAAACAAATTGATAATATTTGGTATTTGAAAATTAAAAAATTTAGAAATTAAAATAAAGAAATTTAGTTTTGAAGCTTATTATAAAGGATTTGGCGTCATCATTTATAATATCAAACATTCTAAATTGCGGACCACGAACCCTGAGAAATTTATTAGAGTAAAAAAAATATTTATATAAAATTAAAAATAAATAATTTGATTGAAGGGCAAGTAATCTTAAAATTGAATCAAATAACAAAACAAATTATTTCAGATTTTTTTTTGATAAAACAAATATACAGGGCGCACCAAAATTTAGTTGAATTTAACAAAAACAGAAATATTCTCATTAAAACAGCAACCGAGAATTTATTTATAATTAATGTTAGTTTTGTGAACATATATGGTGAATAAAAAAAATAAATATAACAATTATTGTTATAATTTAAACACATAAATTATAACATACAAATATAAATCATAACAAATGTCGCTAGCCACCGTGGGGCTTTGATAAACGTGACGCTAGTGTAAGACAGTGACGTAGTGTTAAAACTAAAAAACAGTGGTGCAAAAGTGTAAAATAAATAGATAGTGCTAATCAAAATGAATTATTTTTTTGAATATTATAGTAAGTGTAGTATTACAAAATAGTGTAATAATTTATAGTGCTATTATTTAAGTAATAAAATTGGAAAATATGGAAGGAATAGAAGGAAAATCCCAAGAAAAGGAAGGAAAGAGGTTGATGGATCTTAAAGTTATGGAATTGAAGGAGGAATTAGAGAAGAGAGGAGAAATCACAACAGGACTAAAACCAGAATTGAGGAATAGGAATATTACAAGCAAATGGAGAAGATCCAGAGCAATATGTTTTCGAAATATTACAAGAACAGGAAGTGGAAGATGTACCATTGTCAGAAGAGCAAGGACAAGGGGATATACAAGAAGTAGAGACACAAATGACAGAAGAAAATATACAGCAAAATAAAGATGAGAATAATGATGAAGAGAAAAAGAAAAGAGTAAAACAAACTCTAGAAAAAGAGATTGCTGAAAAGAATAAAGAAATGGACATAAGGAGCATGTTCGAAATTATGATGAAAGAAATGAAACAAAATAATAAAGATGTAAATAATAAAATGGATGATATGAAAGTAGAAATGAAACAAAATAATAAAGATGTAAATAATTAAATGGATGATATGAAAGTAGAAATGAAACAAAATAATAAAGATGTAAATAATAAAATGGATGATATGAAAGTAGAAATGAAGCAAAGTAATAAAACAATAATAGAGAAAATGGAAGAAAAACTAGGGAATGTTGAGAAGAAATTGGAAGAATCAAAACTATACATGGAGAATAAAATAGAAGCCACAAAACAAGAGATAAGGGAGGAAGTGATTGGAAGAATCACGGAGATAGAAAATCTACACATGAATAGAATTAAGGAAATAGAAGAAAAAGGAACGAATTTCAAAAAAGAAATTATGGAAGAAGTGGAAAAACTACAAGATCAAAAATTTGAGACATTCCAAGAGGAAGTGAAGGAAGTCAAACTGGCAGTGCAGGACACTCAAGAACGAATGGGAAGTCTGGAAGAAAAATGGAATAGAACTTTG